AATCTCTTTGCTTTTTTTTCACGTTTGTCCGTTTTTTTTTTTTTGCTTCGCGATGTAGGGGACTGATGAAACAGGGTGGGGAAAGCTGCTTCACAAATGGCGAAACTATGAGGTGGGGTGGGGGAGAGGGGGGAGAAGATCTCCATCTTATCTCCCCCCCAATGTCTTTGTTTGTTTTTTTCCACCTTCTCCCTTTTTTTTTTTTTTATGGCTTTGCGATGTAGGGGACTGATGGAACAGGGTGGGGAAAGCTGCTTCACGCATGGCAAAACCATGAGTTGGGGTGGGGGGGAAGAGATCTCCATCTTATCTCCCCCCCAATGTCTTTGTTTTTGTTTTCACCTTTTTCGATATTTTTTCTTTGCATTGTGATGTGAGGGACTGATCGAACAGGCTGGGGAACGCTGCGTCACGCATGGCGAAACTATGAGGTGGGGTGGGGGAGAGGAGATCTCCATCTTTTCTCCCCCCCAATCTCGTTGCTTTTTTTTTCACGTTTGTCCGTTTTTTTTTTATAGCTTTGCGATGTAGGGGACTGAGCAAACAGGGTGGGGAAAGGTGCTTCCCGCATGGCGAAACTATGATGTGGGATGGGGGGGGAGAAGATCTCCATCTTATTTCCCCCCCAATGTCTTTGTTTTTTTCTTTTCATCTTTTCGCGTTATTTTTTCTGTCGAAAAAGAGATTTGAGGGACTGATCGAACAGGCTGGGGAATGCTGCTTCACGCATGGCGAAACTATGAGGTGGGGTGGGGTGGGGTGGGGGGGGAGAAGATCTCCATCTTATCTCCGCTTCCCAATGTCTTTGTTTTTTTTACCACCTTTTCCCGTTATTTTTTCTTTGCATTGCGATTTGAGGGACTGATCGAACAGGCTGGGGAACGCTGCTTCACGCATGGCGAAACTATGAGGTGGGGTGGGGCGGAGAAGATCTCCATCTTATATCCCCCCCAATGTCTTTGTTTTTTTTTTCCACTTTCTCCCATATATTTTTTTTTTTATGGCTTTGCGATGTAGGGGACTGATGGAACAGGGTGGGGAAAGCTGCTTCACGCATGGCGAAACCATGAGGTGGGGTGGGGGG